CTGTGTTTGGACCGGTTCTGTTCTGTCTCTGACCCGGTCTCTGTTCGGACCGGTTCTGTTCGGACCGGTTCTGCTCTCTCTGACCCGGTCTCTGTGTTCGGACCGGTTCTGTTCGGACCGGTTCTGCTCTCTCTGACCCGGTCTCTGTGTTCGGACCGGTTCTGTTCGGACCGGTTCTGCTCTCTCTGACCCGGTCTCTGTGTTCGGACCGGTTCTGCTCTCTCTGACCCGGTCTCTGTCCCCAGCGGGCTCTGGAACGTCCCCTACATCACCCAGGTCTACCTGGTGAAGGGCAGCGTCCTGCGGTCCAAACTGTCCCAGGCCAGCCTGTTTGTGGACGAAGGAATGGACCCGGACATGGTGTTCTGCAGAACCATCAGAGACCAGGTAACCCCGCAGGCTTTGTACCAGAACCCGATCCGATTCCTCTGCACTGGACTCACCACCGTGTGTCCTCAGGGCGTCTTCATGTTCGTCTCCAACCGAGACGAGTTCGGCCGACTGGTGGCGTCCACCACCTTCAACACGTCCAGACTCCACCCGGACATGTGGCAGATCTTCGACAACCCACTGGTCAGAACCGGACCGGAGGTCCACCAGGTTCTGGTGGGATGGCTGGATCTGAGTCTGTCTCTCTCTGTCTCTGCAGGACTGGAGGGAGAAGTACGTCCACGAGAACTACTCCAAGATCTTTGAGGAGGACAGCAGCGTGGTGGAGCAGGTACTGCAGCGGGACCTGGACCGGGCCTGTGGGCCACAGCCAGGCGGTTCTGATGTCAGCTGGGTCTCTAACGACCTCTGTTGTTTCCTCCAGCCCTGTCCAGATGTCTACTGGTTTCCTGCCTTCTCTGAGAAGATGTGTGACCATCTGGTGGAGACCATGGAGGACTACGGCCAGTGGTCCGGAGGCTCCCACAAGGTACCGCCGCTTCCTGAGAGCCAGCCGCCATGAGGTTCCTCAGGGGGCTGACAGGTTCTGGTTCTGTCCCTCCAGGACGAGCGTCTGTCCGGCGGCTACGAGAACGTCCCGACCGTGGACATCCACATGAACCAGATCGGCTTTGAGAAGGAGTGGCTCAAGTTCCTGAAGGACTACATCGCCCCCGTCACCGAGAAGCTCTACCCTGGATACTACCCCAAGGTAGGAACCCAACCGGGCCTGGAGGTGTTACAGTAAGGTAGGAACCAAACGGGGCCTGGAGGTGTTACCCCAAGGTAGGAACCCAACCGGACCTGGAGGTGTTACCGTAAGGTAGGAACCCAACCGGACCTGGAGGTGTTACTGTAAGGTAGGAACCCAACCGGGGTTGGACCAGAGCCAGTCCTGTGGAACCTTTAGGTTTATAGTTTTCTGACCCTCTGTTTGTGGAACCGGAAACTTTTGTTATTTTTAAATGGTTTTCATTTTGTTTGTATCTATGGTGGGTCATATTTAGTTCCTCACCTCAAAAGGAAAAGAAATTCATCAATTTCAGGGGATTATTATAGACATCCACTCTGCAGGCTAATGTTAGCCTTAGCTTTATCAATATATTTCCATAATATAGCTATAATAAATGATACGAGCTAGCTGCTGCTGTAGCTAAATGTTACCATATTTTCATTAGCATGCTAAAGGCTACAAAGAGCTGCATTACCACGCTGATGTTAGCTTGAAAGTAAAACTAATTCTTCATAAATGCTACCATTGTAGTGCAAACTTTAACTAGCATGCTAATCCCCCCCAGGCCCACTCCATCATGAACTTTGTGGTCCGGTACCGCCCAGACGAGCAGCCGTCTCTGCGGCCGCATCACGACTCGTCCACCTTCACCATCAACATCGCCCTGAACAGGAAGGGCGTCGACTACCAGGTACGCCCCTACCTGACCCCTACCTGACCCCTACCTGACCCGTACCTGACCCGTACCTGACCCGTCTCCTGTGTTTTGCAGGGCGGGGGCTGCAGGTTCCTGCGCTACGACTGTAAGGTGGAGTCTCCCAGGAAGGGCTGGTCCTTCATGCACCCCGGCCGCCTCACCCACTACCACGAGGGCCTGCCCACCACCCAGGGCACCCGCTACATCATGGTGGCTTTCGTCGACCCCTGATAACCCCAGGGGTGTGTGAGTGTGTGTTTGTGGACCTGAACGCGTCATACGGGTTTCTGCCATTCCACTCTTCACGGTTCTCTGACAGGAACCTGAACGCATCATCAGCATCAAACGGACAGAAAAACACGTCACACTTCCTGGCCCTGAACGCATCACGGCCGGGCTTTTCACAATAAGAGTCTTTAATGATTTAATCAGAGGTCACCATGCTGCCTTACCTGAGTCTATGCAAGAACACACTCCAAGTGTGTGTGTGTGTGTGTGTGTGTGTTCAGGAACACATCAGGACTTGAACTCATGACTGCAGCTCCCTCTGTCCAGCAGAGGGCGCTCCGTCACCATAGTAACCTGCAACATGTTACCATGGTGACGCTCCAGGATCCAATCACCATTCAACCCAACCGATTTTAACCAATCAGCAGCCTGAGGCTCTGATTGGACGTTTGTTACTATTTATGGGATGTTTAGATTTTACGGTTACCGGGGCAACGCTAGAGGGTTTTATACTGTTGTAAATGTTTAGCTGTGAGGTTCTGGTTCTGGACTGGTTCTGTCTGGAGGAAGCAGAACAAACCGCTCTAAGTTATTTGTTTCAAGGAACTGAATAAAGTTTTAGTAAACTGAGCTCTGATTGGTCGCTTTCATCTGGACAGTTAACCGTCTCTAGTTTGTCCTCCATGTTTTCTGCTGGAATATTCCTGGTATCAGAACCGACCCGCCGGATCTGCTGGTGGAGACTGGAGCAGCACCCGGGTCCAGTTTGGTCCAGATTCAGCTGCTCTGGTTCCCCCTCCCCTCTCCCCCCCTCTGCTCAGCACATGGATCCAGACTGGACCTGCGGTTCTGGTCCTCCCACCCAGTGGTCCAACTCCAACTCCAGTTCTGGTTCTGTCCGTCTGTCCAGGAGCCTGGCTAGCAGCAGATGTCCAGCTGCTAACATGTCCATCCATTAAGATCCGGGGTGTCCAAACTGTGGTTCGGGGGCCATTTGTGGCCCAGACCACAGTATAAACGGGGCACAAAGTTGGTTTTCAGGTCAAAGTTGGACGTTTAAAATGTGAAAAAAATGGTGAAAGTAGAAAGTACAACACAAAGGACTCAGTTTTTATCTACCATGTTTTGTGTATTTATTTTAATTTCAAAGTGAATTCGACCACAAACTTCCACTGACTTTTACTCAAGAGCAGTTTGGAAATATCCCCAAATGTAATATAAAACAATATTGAGGATGTTGTAGATTTTATGTTTCAGAAAATCAGACTTCTTTATTCAATTAAGTTCTGTGTTTTCTTTATAGTTCTCTGGGAATAAAAAGAAACATTTTTAAATATAATTAAAAAGGAAAACAGTATTTTGTGTACCTGAGTTACTTTTCTTAAAGTAATTTTACATTTTCAAGAAGACGGTTCAAAGTGCTTCACATGAATGAGAGGAAATGCAAACCATCCAAAGGAAAGACAAAAAGGCAACAGTATAAAACTACATATTGGTTCCCAGTATGTACTTATTATGTAGTGATTATTTGTCCAAAAACTCAAGAACCAAAAATAAAAAAAACTTAAACTTCAAGGTGATCAAAGTATATGGAGCTAAAACTGTCTCATAATTCACAAATGCTCAGGATGACATTCACACATGTATTTTTGATGCAAACACAAATATTTATTGATTTCTAGCAGTGGCGCAACTGCACATTATTCAGGTGGATGCGAAAACATAAATCGGGCCCCCCCCCCCCCCCCCCCCCGCCACCCCCACCGGGGGGACGCGCGGGCGCGGGG